TGTGCATGAATAACAGTTAGATATAAGCTTAACTTCGTTTAACTCTGAAACATATGCTAATTACCTTTATGTCAGCCGAGGTGCGTGCACTAATATTTTCAGTGGCGCTTTAAACAGGAAACTCTCATATTTAAGCTCCGCCCGGAAATCTCGGAAAATCTCAGACTGAGATTTTCGGTGTCTGAGAAATATTCGGTGTCTGAGAAATATTCGGTGTCTGAGATTTTCGGTGTCTGAGATTTTCCGAGATTTTCAGTTTATTCACTCCTCCCCTCACAGCAGCCGCTTATACTCATTCATGACGCATTTATAAACCCGAGAATTGTGGAGATATAAAGCAACCCGGTATGCTGAAGAAACTCAAACGGGGATTCATCTTCGAGCAGACTTGGATAGCCTATTACTTGTGCAAAAGATGAAAACCATTGTCGCTGTCAATTTGGCACTTATTTCAGGTATGTAAAGGATGACCGGGAGTTTTGTATCGCATGTCAATTATGTCTGTATTATTTAAATAGCGATAGTTTCTATTTACATTACGTGAAAATGTGGACATATTCTATTTATACTATGAAAAATAGCTTTTTCAATAGTAGGCTATTTTGAAAAAATAGTAGGCTATTTTATTTGCAATAGTGGAAAAAGTTAGAAGATACGTAGGCTATAGCCTAAATAGTGGCAGATAAACTATTGATATAGGCTACATGAAACGCAGAAATAACAGTGTAAATTATTATTATATGTAGGCCTAATAAAATTAATAAATGGATGTCGCCTTTATGGGTCCCTAATTGTTAAACACTTTATTATTAAACACACGTTAGACACTTTATTTCCACTTTTCGCATATTTTCTTGATTTTTATTGAAAATAAATGGCTTTTCGAGCTGATGTGATGGGGAAAGTATATAGAGCGCGTTCGGCAAAAGGAATTAAAACTCTCCGACACGAGCTTTAACGCAACACTACCGCTGTCAAATGACATCTTCCAAAGTTTTGTGTCCCGTCATTCTGTGAATACGGGCTATTCGCGCTTAATGTTAAAAGAGACACTCCGTTAGGCTATTCCCCCCTGAAATTACAAAAGCCTAGCCTACTACCACAATAAGAAATAGGCTACAACCTAAAAAAGTGATTTGACGTTTAAATTTGCGCAGCCGTCATGTTGTAGCTCGAGCGCAGAAAATACCCAACCAAACCAACGCGTTGGTAGTTAGTAAACCACGTTAGTAGCCTACTATCTCTCACACACGTGTCGCGCAAAATCACATCTACTCCTGCAAGAGCGATAAGCAGGAGCTCAGTCTGAGATAAACTGTTGATTAATCTGCGGATACTCGTATAACCAAAAGAAACGGAACTGTCCGTTTATTCCTCATTATTGTAATACAGTAGCCTAATTCTGATTTGCAGTTCTGGCTGTTGCTGGATCGAAGTTCGAGGCGACCGATGGACAGAATGTGACCATATCCTTCGACATCGATGAAGTGGAGAAAGCAGATGAAGTGAAGATTTCTTTTAAAAAAGACCGCAATGAAAAAAAGCCCTTTGTTATTGCGCAGAAGCCTTGGGTCTATGATGATCCTCCCTCACCTGGAGTTACACTGATAGTTGGAAAAGATCGTTTGTCTGTAATCATTCAGAATATCAGCATCTCCAGATCAGAACTCTATAAAGCAGAAGTCTACACTGGAGCGAAAGTGTGTGAGGTGACCGCTACACTTGTGGTCAACAGTGAGTATATTACTGTTTGCCTGTAATGTGCAGAATCAGGTTTATGATGGTCAGGATAAGAGTCATTTGATTTGCAGTTTATAACCGTCCAACATTTTCTGTTGCTGTTGTCTCTTCCAGAAGCTCCAGTTTCCTCCAGTATATCTCCTCCACACTCCTCCTCCAGCCCAGACCCTCCCCGCTCCTCTCAACTACACTGGCTTTATGCTTTAATGCCTCTAGTTATTGTCGTCTCGGGGGGTGTTTACTTCTGGAAACTCAGGAGGGCAAGTATTACATTTATTATTTTATTTATGAATATGAGCATTTATGAGTCTGTATTCACTTTTTGCCAAAAAGCTGATTCTAATGTGGAAACTCTTAAAAATGAAATCTTAATTTTAGGACTTATACATTTTTCATCTAAGTGTAGGCTAATTCAAAAATATTAATGTCAGAATGATGATGCGTCAGAACAACCCGATTTCACGGCAATTCGTACGAATTTTACGAGGTGGCTAATTCGTATGAATTCGTACGAATGACCTACCCCTGACCCCGCCCCTACACCGTGGGTCACGTGGGTTTAGACAATCGTACAAATTTGTACGAGTGAGGTCGTGAGATAGGTCAGAAACACCAGCGATTTCGTGTTTTTGAGACTGTCTTTGGTTCACTGCAGTTTTAAGGAGAAAATACTCAGCAATGCTGTCGACTTATGAATTTACACATGGTTTGTCTAAAAACATTTTTTTTTTAAACACCACATAGACATATAAACTTTACAAACCTGATTTTCACCACAGGGGGACTTTAAAATAATGTCAAAAACTGTTTTTAAACTGTATAAATTAATATAAAACTGTATCAAAACTGAAGCTTCGACTTTAGCACCTTTTCATTTGGTTTATGTTGACTTTCAGAAGAGTAAGACGCCAGCGGATGAAGAAGAAGAAGAAGAAGAAGAAGAAGAAGAAGAAGAAGAAGAAACTCCTGCTGTCTCCATGAAGCTCTTCACTTCTCTGGGAATCTTTCAGCTCTTTTTCCATATTTCACTTTGTTCCTAAGGACAGTTTTCTGTTGTTTTCTGTACAGATCCAGAGTCTACAAAAAAAAAGTGGAAAAACAATTGCAGTGATTGTGTGTCCGTCACTGTGAACGATTGTGGAGAAAATGCTGAATCTCTTCTCAAGGATTCCTGAGTGTCTTAAAACATTGTTCCAAACACGTGTCCAAACAATCCAAATCTGATTTTTATGCATATCTGATTTTCTATCCGTAGTAAGTGTGAACGAATTGTGGATTGTGGATCAAATGACTCTTGTTGAAAGTCAAGCAGACTGTATGATTTTAGTGTTTTCCAGTTATGTGTAAAATACATTAATAAATGTGTCAATATAATGTGTTCATGCTGTCTGTGGATTAGATAAGATATTGTATGAAGAGAGATTCAGTCCTTCATTTATTATATTTATTGTTTTATGAAAATAAATATATTTGTCCCACTTTTCCCCCACAGCTTTGACTGTTTTCTCATCAACTTCACTCTGCCAGAGTAATATATCATAAATGTTAAATAATTAATTTATAGTGTGTACAGTTTCAGATGCTGTAAGATGCCACATAATTAATCTGCTGTTTGAATATGTTTGAATATAAAAGTAAATGCCCAAAGAAAGGAATTTTAAAATTCCAATAAAAACAAAACAAAAACAAACATGGATTAAAAATCAGACTCGGATTTAATTCATGATAATGTAGATTACCACTTTTACAACACAAAAATGTAATTGTTAATATTTACTTATTTATGCTGGTATTTATGCTAACTGATATTTCAAGCGTTTTAAGAAGTATGCTACAAATACACAATATTAATTAGTTGAGATTGCAGGTTTGATGTAGAGATAAACAAAAGCTTCTACAGCGGATCTTCAATCAGATCCACACATTATGATGCACCTCAGATATGCATATTTTTAATAAAAGATGGGGAAAATAATTGATCTGAATTTGGTTATTTGGCCAAAACAGCCCTACCTGATAATAAATTAAGAGAGATCACACAGATAAAGCACACGTCTCTTCATTTAAAGGGACAGGTCACCCAAAAATGTTGTCATAATTTACTCGCTCTTAAGTTCCTAACCTGAATTAGTTTCTTTCTTCTGCTGAACACAAAAGAAGATATTTTGAAGAATGTTTGGAATCAAACAGGTGATGGACCCCATTTACTTCCATTGTAATTTTCCCTACTATGGAAGTCAATGGGTTTCCTCAACTGCCTTTTGTGTGTGTAATGTTATAATTGTCCATTGGTGGCGCTCTGGCATGGTTTATTAAGGGCACCTGGTTAATGAGACAACAGGGGTGTATTTGGGACGGGGGAAGCACACCGTTGTTGAGTAGCGCGCAAACTGGATTATATTGCTGTATCTACAAGGTATGGACTTGAGATTTGTATTTTGTGAACTTGAAAGACTGACACCACCGGAAGAAATGTTTATTCATTCAAGCACAGTTAAGAAAGACAGTGTTTGCATTTTACATCAGTTTGCTTGTTTAGCTATGCACGTTCTTCTAAAACTTGCTCACTCATATTACCAAAGCCAGCGGCTTAGTTGAAAGCTCCTACAATTAGTGATGTTAAATTAAATTTATTTTAATGGGCTTGAAAACAAATGCATTCAATATTTGGAAAATGTTTCAAGTAGCCTAATTAATTACAGGGGAGATCAGGGCACGACCTAACGTTTTTTTGGCGTTGTTTCATCTGGCTCCAGTTTGCTTGTTCTTCCTTCTCAGTTTCACATTCTGTATGAGGACAACAAAATATAATAGCCTAATGCTTTTATTAAACAGTCTTTCACAGAAACATATAGGGCCTAACTACTAACATAAGAATTTCAGCTTTGCGGTGCTGAGTGTAATTATGAAACTTTTCTCCCTTTGTTTGCAGACTTACAATGTTTCTTACGAAAAAGTTTTTCGGGATCCTTTTCAGTCTAATAATAACTTGTAAGTAAGAAGTCATTTTGATTGACATGAACTTATCTTAAAATGTTAAATCAATTTTTTTTATTACAATATATTCCACTAAATCTTTGTCTTACATTGCAGTGGATCAACAAGAAGCATCAGATCTTGAGAATGCACATGCCGCTCGAAGCTGCAAAGAACTTAAGACAAAGTATCATGTTTATGATGTACGCTCATTTTATATTAAAATTTGATCTTAAGCAACAACTGCAGTGAAGTGACTCATGATGCTTTTGTTTTGTTGTTAGATGGCCTGTACTATCTGAACTCCTCCAGAGGCGTCCTGTACCAGACCTTCTGTGATATGACCACTGCGGGCGGAGGCTGGACGCTGGTCGCCAGTGTTCATGAGAACAACATGTACGGAAAGTGCACTGTTGGTGATCGCTGGTCTAGTCAGCAGGGCAGTGAACCAAAACGGCCGGATGGTGAAGGGACATGGGCAAACACAGTCATATTTGGAACTGTAGATGCCTCTACAAGTGATGATTATAAGGTATTTTTATTACATTCATGGTTTTACAGCAATAGTTAAATAGAAGGAACAGAGTGACACGAGGATAATGATCAATGGATGTTTTTGTAGAATCTGAAACGATAGTATTTTTCCCTTCTGTGACAGAATCCTGGTTACTTTGACATCCCAGCACAAGATGTGTCCGTGTGGCACGTTCCTAATAATATGGAGGTGGAATCCTGGAACGCTTCCTCCATCCTGCGACATCACACCGATAATCACTTCTTATCTCTCTACGGGGGAAACCTTTATAATTTATTCAAGGTCATAAAACACAATTTTTGAGTTTGAAACATTCACAGAAATGCAACAATTGTGAAATTACAATTAGTGTTTTTTTTCCTCCCAGAAATTCCCGGTGAAGTTTGGAATAGGGGCATGCATCACTGATAATGGACCTGTTATTCCAATAGTGTATGATAAAGGAAATGCGGATTACAACAAAAATCTCTATGGTCCCAATGCAAGAAGTATGGCTTTTTTTAAAATCTTTTTTTTATCCTTTAAGCAGGCAAGTCCATTAAAAACAAATTCTTATTTACAACAACATCCTGGTAATATCCCTTGAGTCAATATTTTTAATGAAAGTGGCTTCATCGGTTGACAGTGTCTGGAAATCTGTGTATTAAGTGATGGTGTACAAGGCATCTTCATTGTTGAGATCCAATCACTTTAATGAATGAAAGCCATGTCTCGTGTTAATGGACATATGACAGATTATCATCAGTGATACTGTATATTCTGTGCATTTTCCCAGCAAACTTTCTGCCTGGATTCATCTCATTCAGAGTCTTTAATCATGAAAAGGCCGCCATGGCTCTTTGTTCAGGTGTCAAACCAACCGGCTGCAACACTGAACATGTGAGTAAACTTCATATTCTGGATTATTTATATATCACTATGGACAGCATTTGTAAAATTAATACATTTACAATGAAAATAAATCAACAATGTAATTTTAAGAAGTGCATAGGCATGTCTTGTTAGTAATGTCCTCATATTGTTGCAGTTCTGTATTGGTGGAGGTGGACACTTTCCTGAGGCGGCCCCGAGGCAGTGCGGGGACTTTCCGGGATTCGACTGGGACGGCTATGGCACTAATGCGGGATGGAGCGCTTCTAAAGAGATCACCGAAGCAGCCGTGCTTCTCTTTTATCGCTGAAGCTAAAATCGCCAGCAACCTTTCCTTCTTTCTAAGATATAATAGCCCTATATCTGCACTGGTCTGACGAAATAAAGGCCACGCTTCATACAGATGTCTTTTGTTTATTTTTGTATCTCTCTCTCTTCAGTAGACACTGTGAAAACAAGAAATAAAAACATATATTCAAAATATGCATTTCAGTCCTTTACAAGTCTGTCGTGCCAATGTCCGATGAAATGCAAGTGAATGACAACAGAAATACGACAAATCAATGAACATCATAAATAGCACGTAAAGTAATATAAAACATGAATGAAATATATATAAAGGTAAATTACCGTGTGCGCCTCTCAAACCATACAGATTAGGCAATTCTTTTTCAAACTAGCCATGTCGTTTCTCTGCATCCATGTTCATTCTGAGTCAAATTAACGGAATGCATAGCTGATATAAACAAATTGGATGACTAGTAATTATTCTGAAAAAAAACATTCTAATTATTAGACAAAAAACGTGCGCACTTCATAACCTAGAATACTGTCTAACACTTGATGGCTGCTCTGTTAAGTCTTCGTCGTCGGTTAGGAACCTGGGTGTGCTCTTTGATACCAATCTTTAATTTGAAAGTCACGTGTCTATTATCTGTAAAACAACATTTTTCCATCTTAAACATATATCTAAATTACATCTGCTCTCATTGACAAATGCAGAACAATTAGTTAATGCGTTCATGACCTCAAGGCTAGATTATTGTAATGCTCTACTGGGTGGTTGCCCTGCACACTTAATAAACAAACTACAGCTGGTCCAAAGCACAGCTGCTAGAGTTCTTACCAGAACCAGGAAGTATGACCATATTAGCCCGGTTCTGTCAACACTGCATTGGCTGCCTATTAAACATCGTATTAATTTTAAAATATTGTTGATTACTTACAAAGCACTAAATGGTTTAGCTCCGCAGTACTTGAGCGAGCTCTTAACGCATTATAGTCCTTCACGTTTATTGCGATCTCAAAATTCCGGCCAGTTGATAATACCTAGAATATCAAAATCGACTGCTGGCGGTAGATCCTTTTCATATTTAGCACCAAAACTTTGGAACAGTAGCAGAGATGAACACAAGCTTCTACAGTGGATCTTCAATCAGATCCACACATTATGATGTACCTCAGATATGCATAGCTATACTTGCAGTCTTAATAAAAGACGGGGAAATAATTGATCTGAATTTGGTTATTTGGCGAAAACAGCCCTACCTGATAATAAATTAAGAGAGATCACACAGATAAAGCACACGTCTCTTCATTTAAAGGGACAGTTCACCCAAAAATGTTGTCATAATTTACTTGCTCTTAAGTTCCTAACCTGAATTAGTTTCTTTCTTCTGCTGAACACAAAATAAGATATTTTGAAGAATGTTTGGAATCAAACAGGTGATGGACCCCATTGACTTCCATTGTATTTTTCCCCTACTATGGAAGTCAATGGGTTTCCTCAACTGCCTTTTGTGTGTGTAATGATATAATTGTCCATTGGTGGCGCTCTGGCATGGTTTATTAAGGCCACCTGGTTAATGAGACAACAGGGGTGTATTTGGGACGGGGGAAGCACACTGTTGTTGAGTAGCGCGCAAACTGGATTATATTGCTGTATCTACAAGGTATGGACTTGAGATTTGTATTTTGTGAACTTGAAAGATTGACACCACCGGAAGAAATGTTTATTCATTCAAGCACAGTTAAGAAAGACAGTGTTTGCATTTTACATCAGTTTGCTTGTTTGTACTCTTCTAAACCTTGCTCACTCCTATTACCAATACAGCGGCTTAGTGGAAAGCTCCTACAATTATTGATGTTAAATTTAACTTATTTCAATGGCCTTAAAAACAAATACTTTTTCAACATTGGGAAAATGTCTCAAGTAATGCTGTTCAGGTAATTTTATTACAATTATGACTTGTCAGTATTAAGTGCTCTTGTCCACATAACATCATTGTACCACAACATTAGAACTCAATCTGATTAACATTTAGTTATGGAGGGGGTGCACAAGAGTCATCATCGTATCTGTATTCATTTTATTATATAATTAAACGAGATTTGGTTTTCTCTGAGACACTTTTGTCCTACGTTGTAAACAGTAAATATTAAAATAACATAGTTGAGACAAATGTAGCATGTGGCTTTCTGGAAAGGAAAGCAGGATCACTACAGGCGGATGGCAGGTGGACACCGCGTAAAACAGTAGCGAGAGCGAGCGGGTCACTGGTGTGGGAGAGCACATGGCGGAAGCGCGGGACGAAAAAAGTAGTCCCTTGCAGACTTCTACACCGAACTAACTAAGCATTAGCTGCCAAAATGCTGAAATTTCATGCATATACAGAAATTATGAGTTCTTAATCTTACTTTATCTTAATCTTTCTTTGTTGTTCTCTTGCTTCGGTAATTGAACTACCACAGAATGTTCATGTCGCAGAGTTTTTCCTTTTTAAAGTCTTGCTGCATATGGATTCTTTGTGGCTCTTATATGCAAACTGAATAATGGATGATTTAGCAGACATTTTCAATTAATAGTTGAGCTAGAGGCTCATGACATCCTGTCCTGACCTGAGTCCTGCTGCCTTTGAGCTAACGTTATAGTCTCAAGTCATGCGCAGTTTCGCACAAGACAATCACCAATCATTGGACATGTCAATCAAACATCAATTTGAAGAAATATTAACATACAGTAATAATCATGAAAAATATGTTGAATTGGACTCTAGTGGACGCGGGAATAATACAGAGTCCTAATATGTTTGAGTACGAGTCAATACCGAGTTAAAATGTACACGAGTCCATGACAAGACCATTAAAATATGGTCTCGAGTAGCCTACTACAACACTGAGCGCACGTGTGTGAAACATGCTAAAAGTTGCTTAAACTGTTTTAGGAACATCACACATCAGTTACTTGTCACATTTAGACCACCTTCTGTGACCAACCAACCTAAAATCCAATCTGTTGTTCTATTCCGATATTAGGTTGTTCATCAGATCACTGATTGGTTAAATGTTCATTCAGGAAAGTAACAAGTCCTACCCAAGGGGGTAATCCATCGACCGGAAGTTGAAGCCGGCCGGGTGCCGCCATCTTGTAGCAGAACTTCACTTGCGTTAGCATTTCCATTGACTCCCATTCATTTTGGCGTCACTTTGACAGCGAATAACTTTACATCTGAGGCGTTTAAAGACTCCATTTGTCCATTATTTATTTCTAAAGAAACACGACAATGTATAAAAGGCTCCATTACTTCGTATCTTACGTTATGGCCCCGTAGAAGCCGTTTTTGTAAAAATAGGCTAACGATTGCGTCATAACGCGCGACTCTCTGGCGCACACTAGGGAAAATTACCGTATAGACAGAAGTAGAAACTCGCGCGCAATCGGGGGGACGTGGAGGCATAAAGTCAAGAGAGAAGCCCATAGAGAGTTGTAAAGTTGCTCCTGCTGCGAGCTCATGGACAGCTAATACTCACGATCTCCGGCTCTGCAAGTTTCGGAAGGGAATGATTCAGATTCCTCTTGGCACAGCTACTAGAAGATCTACGTCTGTCAGACAGGTTGCTCACGTCATCAAGCTTAGTTTGAGTTGGTTTGAGTCTGCGCGTCAGGAACGGAAGTGCTCAAAAATCGCTAAAAATGGGCTTCAACTGTCTCAACTGAGTTCCAATGAGATGGCTCTGTCCATTTCTTATACTGTCTATGGTCCTACCAATGCTATCTCACGACAAATTCGTACGAGTGATTAAAAGGTGGCTAAAAAAGTGTCCACGTGATGGGTGGGTTTAGGGGC